ACCAAACACCCAGACCACCCACAAAAAATCCCCAACCCTAAACACCCACCCCACCCCTAAAAATCCAAGACAACAACAACAACAAAATTGTCACCATAGAGCCTGGATATTTGTGGAAATGCTGTCTCTAATTAAAGAATTTAGATTTTCTTGAGAAAATAAAAAAAGGTATCAACATTTGAAGTCATGTACTCAATTAAGTGCTATAATGCACAACATTTATCAGTTGTTCTTAGATAAGTGTATGGGTTGAAATACCCACAAGAGTAAAATAAAAACTATGAAAAAAAAAAATAATCAATGTTATAAGTTACTTCATAGTTTGTATAACTAATTCCATTTTTTATTTTTTGCTATGTTTATCTAAATATTGAGAAGAATGGGAAGGAATACTCCCAAGAATGTAAGTTTCCTTACCTTTATAAGACATGTCTCTTCAGAAGATGAAAGTAGCACATTCTCCGGCTTTAGATCCCGGTGTATAATTCCATTGTCATGAAGATACTAGATATATACAGATATATAATCAAAGAAAGACAAGCTTTAACTTTTTTAAATGTAAGCTTTCCAGTTTTTTTGCATAGCAATGGCAGGATAACTGAAGCGGTTGTTTAAGAGGCATGCATGCATTTAAAGCTACCCAGCTTATGACTCTCTTCTTAAAAAAACAAAACAAAACACCAACCAACCACCTTCGAAACCAGTACACTTTAAAGGTCAAATCCCAATGCAAGCACAGTATGTAGACCTGGCAAGGTGTTCCATTCTTCCCATTCCCTGGAATGCTGTAATTCTGTCTTCGTCTCAATAAAAGCAACAGAACTAAGGAAGACCAAAGTTCTATGTTGCCTTTATAGGAATTCTGGTTTTCATCTCTCTCCTTTCTTTTAGTCATTATTATTGTATGATCATACAGTCTTAAATACAAGTTCACATTTCAGCTTGCAAAGACAGCTAAGTTCACCCCACAACAGTCCTCACACTGGTGAGTAATAGTAGACAGATTTAAAAAACACCTCAGTCACAGAGCTGGAGCCTGAAAAAGGGTTCAAAAATCTGGTGATATAACTAGGAAAACTGAGTAAGGAAGAGATACAACATCAACCACAGGTTAAATACACATAGGATTTTGAAAAAAGTTACTTTCTTGAGACAAGTGTAGAATTGTTCCCTTATCTGTAGTTCTGAAGTCTACATGCAAGTCTAGTATCCAGTTTTCTACTGGCTCTGAGAACAGACTTCTAGCTTCATTAGGAGAACATCTGACAGCAAACAAGAATCAACGTTCAGTCATAAATGACTTATGTTAAGACACAATGAAGCCTGTGTTAAAACTAGGAACAATGTCGATTCTAACGAGTAGTACGAAATAAGTCCTAGAGATGTGTTCACATTTACACTGAGGGGAAGCTTTCCTTTATTAGAGCTGAACACCTGGTATCATTATGAAATAGAAGGTAATGACACCACTTATTAGATGAGCGGCTGTCCCAAAAATGAGAATTGGGAAAAAATACAATAGTTTACTCACTAACAAGGAAAATAATTCTAAGTTTATTATTTATTAATATCTACTACAGAACAATTATTAAGTTGCTATTTTTGGCCATTGCAAGGTATTACAATTGAGTCAAAGGAAAAAATGAAAAGAACTAATCTGAAAGCATATTCAGGTCCAGACAATTAAGTCTGATATAGAAAACAACCTTGCAGAAGTTACTAATGAAATACACTTACCATTTCATGAATTTAGAAGAAATTTATCCAAGGAATCAATACTCAGTATTTGAGATCTATTAAAGCAGTCTTAATCTGTTGTCAGCTGAACTGAAATGTTTATTCAGCAGTGTACAGTAAAGCATCCGATCACTTATTTTTTTGAAAGGCTACTACACTGATGACTCTTTGCCCACACACTACTAAAAGTTTCATGTGATAATCCTGCCATCAATGAGCACAGTCTGTATTATTAGTTTAGTCCCTGTTTTTAATAAGTAAGTGTTTGAATGTTCTTTAGCTGCACTGAGGTAAAGAATCTTGTTAAATCAACTTGTTAAAGAGTGTTGTGCTGATTGTTTGCACAGGTTTCAGAAGTGACAAATGACAGAAAAAAAGTCACCTGACTGACATTCATATGTATAACCATATTTTTCTTGGTAGAATTCATGATTTTGTACCTTTACAGCCAGCAGCATCTGATAAAAATACAACTTGCAGGTATCTTCTTTCATCTTGATTGGCCTTGACACTCTGTCATACAATTCTCCTCCTTCCATCCTAAAACAAATGCAGTAACAAGTCAATATATTACTTCCAAAAGACTCACCTCATTAGACAAGACTGAGACCAAAACATTTCGCTATTTTGGCTAAAGAGAAGGAATATATTTCTGAAAATGAGTGAGAGATGTCCTAAATACAGCACATGCCCTGCTGAATTAGGCCTAATCTCCTGAGTCTTCACTGGGAGTTGTTACAATATTTTTGATCTGCCTCCTCTTACAAGTTCAAAAAAAAAAAATCAAAAAAGTAGCAGCAATCCACAAGAGCAGCATGGTGGGCAACTATCCAGGCACTAAGTGCCTTCAAAGCGTACAAAGATTACTGTCTCTTATCCTAGTTCCTAATTTTACAGAGGTTACAGAGAGCAGTGGAGGCCAGCAAAAGAAAAAACAACAACCAAACAAAAACCCCCAAAGTTCAGAACGATACACATTCTTCATGGCTATGAAAAACATTTAATTTTATGCATTTACTTTCAAACAAGTTACTTACAGTTCCAAAACAATGTAGTAATCCTCTGCTTCAAAGAAGTTTTTGATCTTGATTAAACAAGGCTAATAAAAAAGGGAACACAAATGGACACACATAAAAAAGTAGAAACATTTGTAAAAACTAACATTATCAACAGTTTATCATTCTCAGTTCCTATTTCAACCACGATTTCATTCCATAATTTCAACCATTCCAGCTAAACTAACACTTAACACAGCTGACGAGCACCCCAGGCTTTGGCAAACACTCAATATTCAGGTCTGTTGTCTTCTGCCCTGTACCTGCACACACAAAAACACTGAACTCTTGTGGTGATTACAAGCTCAACAAGTATCCTCACATTTTCCAATTGTGAGTTACCATACCCTCAACATATTCTTTATATGCAACAGTACATTGGGAAGCAAGGGAAAGTTCACTAAGCTATGCAAACTTTCTACTTCACAAAAGTAAAAGAAACGCCTTTTGCAGGGCAGGGGGGCAGAGGGGTGGGAACAAGGCGAAAGAGAGGATAAGAATTCAAAAAACTGCCAGTGGAATTGAATCTTTGTATTGCTTATCTGGCAGTATTTACAAAAACACAAGTCAATGAAAGATTTCTACAACAGTGGTTCAGGTTGAAACTTCTCCTGGAAGTTTCTTCTCAAATTTGCATCTCAGTTATTCAAAGTTTTAAAATCTCAAATCTGTAAAGACACAGTATACTTAAAAGAAGAAAAAAGAAGTGTTCAATAGACTTATTTACAAGAACAAATACATGCATCCTTTAATATATTTTGTAAACAGATAAAATTGATCTTTAGTTCCTACTCTAAGGGCAGTGAACTATGGAAGTACAGTAGGCAGCAAAAAGGCATAAAAATTTACCGTAACACTCACATGATCTATTTTCTTCAGAATTTCAATTTCTGTATTGATATTAAAAGCTGGGTTCTATTAAAAGAATCAAATATCATATTGGGTAAGACAGTGCTGTTCTGGAATAACACAAACCAGAAATAAGAGACAGTGCCAGAAAAGCTATCGTTTCATATCTCTTGCTGCTTTAAGTGACTGTAACATATAACCTTTTTCCATAAACTGATCAGGTGCCTTCAGTGAATTAAATGAACAGTCTGTTCTCACTATCTGTAGCAAGATATTGCTCCAGACATGTAATTTCACTGCAGGTTAGAAATCTCCACCTCATTTCCAAACTAAAAAAAAAAAAAAAAAAAAAAAAAAAGTTTTGCAAGTATATATTGGTATTGTCCTTTAAACAGCTTTCCTCCTTCCCAGATGTTTCCATATGGGCTAACCCTAAAATTAAACACTACTCTCTCCTAGCTTTTATTTGGTAAGATAACATAAACAGATTATTTTAATCTGTGGCTTAGGCTCAACTCGTGAAATCAACCCAGCAGGTTTTTTTGCTCTTCTTCCAGTCCTAATCGATCATCTTTGAACACACACGATCAAATCAGTATACAACGTTCCAGATGCAGTCCAATCTGTTTTGTACAATGGCATTTCTTAATAATTATCATTCATAACACCATTTCTTAATCTTTATGAGAAACATTCCAAAATTGCATTTTGCAATTTTCAATCACACTGACGTGTCATATTCATCCGCAAGTAACTATCTCTACCTCCTCCTCTGAACTAGGGAAAGTGTAGATTATAGCAGAAATTGTCGCTGATCTTGAAGTATACGATCTTCCATTATTAAACATTATCTAACTCCTACTACTCCAGCATACAAAACTATCAGTTCTTCATACATGATACTGCAGTCTTCCTTTCCATCAACAGAGACTTTGGGTCAGTGCCAGAGATGCAATAGGATGTTCCCACTTTTTGTGCCATGATCACTAAGTGGAATAGGACAGAAGACTAATCTCAAGACAAATTCTCAAAACTTCCACTAGTAACTAATTCTGCTCCCACTGAAGCCTCCTGGCGTCCCTTCCTCAGCCAGCTACCTTTCCACCTTAGAATTTTTGTCTTTACAAAAATATTTTCCAGATCAAGTAGTAGTTTCCTATACAGTACCTGATGAAATACTTGGTCAGTTTAAACAGATTCTGTATATCGTACTTCAGCTCTGAAGTCCATTTTCTCATCAAAGAAATTAATGTTAATCCAATGTGATTTAACTTCAGTAAATCCACAGCAGCACAATTTATGTAGCACCTTCTTCTATGGTCTTTTGCCTCTAACTGTACTTTTCTCCAGTTTATTCTACACACTTATATAAAATTAGAGTAAAAATATCCAAGCAAATTCCTATCTTTCTCAGGCTGGAGTAAAGCCACTTGGCTTGTTCTCCTTCAAATTCAGACTTCTGCTACAAGACTAGACACATGAAAAGCCCTTCCCAAAAGGTTTCATACAATTTTATAAAAAAGTATTTATGATGGGAGAGTTAGCACAGCTTGTCAATTTTCGGCCAGACTCTGCTGGTTATGATGTGCCTATCTCATGCATTTTAGTAGATAAACCCCACAAGACTCCCCACCATCCTTTGTATATAAGACATTAACAGTCCTAAATTATGAACATAATGAAATGTAGTCAAAGAATAAAAGCAAGCATTTTCTACAGAATTCTATAGATTCTGTAAGATCAAAAGGCATTTTGAAATTACATACAAAAGCCATTAAGTGAGGAAATCCTCTTTAGCTGAAGACAGCTGGGGAGTCAGAGAGGTTACCAAATATTCCAGGACCACTGAAAGATGGCAAAAAGACAGACAAGCAAACAAAAATACTTACTGCCTCTCTAATACCACTTGCCATAAACTTCCGTTTATTGATTATCTTTACCGCAACTTTATTGCAAGTGCTCTTCTCAAATGCCAGTTTGACTTCTCCACAGGCACCACTAACACAGAAGCACAGCTATGTCAGTGTTTACAAATACTTTTAAGAAATCTGCATGACAAGCATAGATGAATGAAATTAAAGTGTTGGATTACACACAATTTGAGGCTGCTGCTTTCTAACTTTCCGAATATGGCATGCCAGAACTTTCTCAGAAAGCACTCAATAGTTAGGAAGTCTATTTAAATAGCAAGTGATGTAAAGGGCCACCCATTCAGAAATGCAGGAGTAAATACGGACAGCGACTAATCTGTTTGTACACAGGGTACCAGTGAATAGCAAGGACAAGCTCTGCCAGCATTTCCATCACACAGACGCCCTTAAGGGAAGAGAACCTAGAGAACAGCTCTCTCAACACTGGACTACACAAATTTGAAGAACAGGTAGGGCAAGACTTTTATTTTTACTAGGTAGTGATTATATTAACAGACACAAATCCCTGTATTTTGCACTCTGATTTGTTTCCACATAAACATTCTCCTACAAATTCTTCGCTGACCATCTTTTTCCAAAAGATAAAGAAGTAGCCTTCATTTAAAATAGCCTCTCTCCTTTTTCCTGAAAACAGTTCTTTCCCCTTCTATCTGAAGGCCTCAACAGTACTGATGTAGAAAGCTATATTCCAACATAAAGCTCTTCCTTCCACTTCCAATAACAGAGTAAATTAATACACAAAATTTTAAAACTTGTTAAGAATCTACAGACTTTATTTTCTTCTAGAGAAAAAACCACTGGGTTTCATAATTAATGGTAGGTTACAAAACCCAAGGCAGTTATAGGAAACTGTTATAAAGCCAACATTCCTGTTTAAGCTGTTCTAAAGAACAGGTTTGCTTAGGTGTTATCATTCTTTTTTTAATTTAAACAGCAGTTCAGTTAACACTGGTAATAATTCCAGCACAAGATACTGAAAACAGTAACAAAATTAATGCTTAATAACTGTGGAAAGAAGGACGCTTACCTTCCCAAAGTCTTTGACATGATATATTTCTCTCTGAATTCTCTAGGAAACACCAACTGGTCATCCACCATAGGATCAGAAAATACAAACACTAGGAAGATGAGTGGAGATCATTTTTCTGTTACTAACTTTAAAATGTTGTTATAAGCAACAACTATGCTTCCTGAGCTGCTATAGTCAACAACACAACTAAGAAAATGCTGTCTGCTAGAAGAAAAACATAAATCCATAAAAAAGTTAATCGATGCTATAAATGGTATCAGCTATGGGTTAGCAAAGTGATCTTATTACTGAAAATGGACATCTTTGGTACTAACTTCACAACAGTGCTTAATCAATTAACACTACGTTTAAGGACAAAATAGGCAAGATTTCAATGTCACAGCAGGGAACAAAGAGAAGCGACAATCAGGAAGACAGCATCTTAGTGGAAAAGCAAAGACAAAGAAGAAAACCCCCAACTCTGCTCATTTTTAAGATTTTTTTAAATTATTATGCATCATTTGGTAAGTACACGGGGTTTTTTTTTCAACTTCCCTTGAATAGCCCATTTCCCCTGTTCCCACCAGCACATACACAGCTACTGAAGCACAAAACTATTTCAAAAATAGGAAAACAACTATAAAAGTTTATACTCTAGTAAGGTGGTCCCTGATGCAACTTGCTTTAAGTTTCCTTCTTTCAGTTTTTTTTCCCTAAGGTTGAGGTGGATACAGATAATTTTTATGTGAGTACTAAAACATCAATTCATAGCTGAATTTTAACAGCGCCCGTGAAGAAACTCAGCTTGCAAGAAATATATTCAAATCGCTGCAGAAATGACCTCTTGGTCAACACATGAAGAACCTACTTATGTTAGTACATCTCACCCTTATTAGTCTGTAGAGACAGTGCAATTTCAGAGTTGTGAGTCAGTGGAAGCCTCTTCCCTTTTCCAATGAGCTCTCTATTAACAAAAGTTCCATTTGCACTGTGGTCTTCAATGTAGGCAACATAGGAATTTTTTGGACCCATTTCCTCAAAGAAAAAAAAAATTGGGGAAGATAACAGTAGGGGAAAAATTACTTTACCATAAAGACATGACAGACAATAGAAATTTACTATTGTTGGCTCAGGAAATCAGACTGCTGAGATCATAAACAGGGCTAATGGAGCATCGCCAAGAGTCTCGTTAAAGGAGTCAACACTGAAGGTATTTAAACTTCTGTTTCTTTAGGATCCACCCTCACTAAAGTCAATCTCTTTCAATTATGCCAAAACAGAAAAATACAGTTAACCTTTTTAGCACCTACCCTGAAAATTCGGAAATGCTTCTTGCTATAGTTTTGGTAGAAGCCAGTCTCAGACAATCCTAGCTTAGAAAAACTATAATCACAGCTTTTATCTCTTCCAAACCAGTATTCATCATTCACACAGTCTGCAGAGGGGGGAGTAAAGCAGAGAGAGAACACAAAATTGCAGGAAGTTATTAACTATGGCGCTACAGAATGATGCCAAATGGTAGTGAGTAGGATAACAAAGCCAAGATTCATCCTATACAATCAAGTTTATTTGCCTTAATTGAGACAAAGCACCATGCACTACCAACACCTTGCACAGTATTTTAATCATTTTACCCTCTTTAGTAACAGTACTCAGTGCACCTTCAGCAATAGAGAGACTCACATGATATATAAACAAAATATTTATGAAATGAAAAAATGAAGCAAGTAACAAAGAACATGAAAATCCCAGAATTCCTCTAAGTCTATGGAAGCTCTGTATCTGGATACTCAGTATAAACACTGGGATGGAGTACGGAATAAAACAATATCGCAGAAGTTGCGAGCTTGTACTTAAATTTACTTGTAATTAATTTAAAAAATGACAATACTCTCTACCAAGCTGACCAAAACTTTTCTGAGGTATTAGAAATGAACCAAGAGGCTTATTATAGCACACACATACCACAATTGCTGAAACCTTTTCCAAGTGCAAAGAGTCGACCCCAAGGCTGAGGAACAAGCTCTTCAGATTCCTGGTCCTCAGGGATTGGCGGAAGCTCCTGAGTGGGAACGGTGTCCAAAGAACTGAGGGTCCCAGAACTTGAGGAAGACTGACTAGTACTCTGTGACCCACTGGAAGAACTGGTACCACTCTGTGACTGCTGGGCACCTTGAGACTGCTGCGCTTCACTTCCAGTCTCTCGAGACATGTTGGCTTCAAAGAGAATATTTTAAAAAAACATTACTACAGTGAAATAAAACTGACATTCACACACCCTACTGTTAACATCCAAGCCTAATCTCAGTCTTCAAAGAAGTGAAACCTTCAACCAAAGCGTGCACGTGTGGATTGTATGTAAATCCCCAAGAATTTTGCAAACTATGATGTTTTTCTTCTAAACAAGAATGTGGTGCTGCCTCTACTGGCTCTAAAACAACAGTTTAATCTTATGCCCAGATTTTTACTTGAGCTCTTCAGGGCTCACACCCTACTTCACAAACGCATACGCAGCACTCTGACAAAGCATCCCCACACAAAGCAGTAACCATTGCAGCTCCCCAAACACAAAGGGAAAAACTGAAAAATGAAAACCAAGAACTATAAAACAAAGTACGTTTCCTTGATGCTGACAGCATCCCAACAGGTCTATCACACAGCAAGCCAATCTGGTGTTCTGGCTGAATATTCCTTGAACGTGGGCTATAACTCACGATTTTTCAAGCACCTCCTCCACGCAGGTTCTGTTCAGTAACTTTAAACACAGAACAGCCACACCTACGCACAACCACCG